GCCGTATTGAATTCAGTACGGCCGTATTGAAGTTCAAGAAACCTCAATACAGCCGTATTGAGTTCAGTACGGCCGTATTGAAGTTCAAGAAACCTCAATACAGCCGTATTGAGTTCAGTGCGGCCGTATTGAAGTTCAAGAAACCTCAATACGGCCGTATTGAGTTCAGTGCGGCCGTATTGTAGTTCAAAATGTTCAATACGGCCGTACTGAACTTTTGGGAGGCCGTATTGGGCTTCATTCCCTCCACTTCCTTATTTTGAGCTATTACAAGACCTCTAGACCTACAGAGAATCCTCCTAGGGCCTTCCATGAGTCCTTCTGGCTGACTTTCCTTCAGTCCTCAAGAGTCTTCAAGCTTTATTTCCGACCCGGACAATTTTAGGGGTCTACACTCACTTGCACGACCATGAAACTTAGGCAACAAATGGATTAGTCCAGTTTTAAGCACAAAAGGAACATCTTCCTCAGGGTATTGAATGCAAAAACTCTCATATGTGAAATCAGGTGCATCCATCTCCCTAAGTGTTCTCTCTCGAGGTGCAGGTTGGTCACCCATATTTTCAGTTGAGTCAACTTCAGATGCTACACTCACACTATGGGTCACACTATGGGTATCACTCTCAGGTGGGAATATATGCTCTCTAACTAATCTATGGTATGTTCTATCTATTTTAGGATCAAATGGATGCAAAGTGTCTGGATTATTTCTAGTCATGCACTACATGCAATCACATGCAACTACTACGTGAATAGTAGGGGTAAAAAGGGAATTTTCATGAAAACTTGGAAACTATCAAAACCAATGCACCAATATCATCCTAAAATCATTAGAAACTACCAAAAAAAATTTGAGAGCAAAATTCAAAGCCTAGCTATATGAACTACCTAAGAAAAGTTTGGAAAAATAGGGAAATAAAACTTCAAAAATAGAAAAAAAATAGTAAATGACCTTTTTTGAAAATCTTGCTGGGGCCAAACGGCCTAGCAATTTGGGTTTGATAGATTTTTTTTTTCTACACAAAATGAAAAAAAAGTTTGCCTAATTCCGATAACCAGAGCCAAAGTTATGACCGTTTGAAGTTTTGCTGAAAACTATTTTAAAAAATTTTGGTATCTCCAAATCTTGACCAAACTACATGCCCTAGCTATTTTTTACACAAAATATAGTTTTAAGTAAGTTACCACACAAAATTTGAGGCAAAAACAACAAGTCTAGCTATCAAAACCAAAAATCATAATTAATTGGAAAAATCGGCTACTATTTAGCACTATTCACGCGCCACATTTTTGCACCAGATTTTGCACCACATTTGTAACACTTCTGCACCACATTCCCACATTTTTAGAGCCCGAACAGAGGACTAGTAGGGAGAGAAAACAGAGTATGCCTACAACAAACGAAATGAAAACAGAGTACACACTAATCTGGCGCACCAAAATAGAGCAAAAACTAGACCAGAAAATGCACCAACCCGCACCAGATATGCACCAAATATGCACCAAAATGCACCACAAAACACACCAGAACGCACAAAAAAAAATAGAGTTACCTTACTAACTCACCACACTTCACAATGAACACAATGAACACACGGACAGAGACACACTAAAATACACAAACACAAACACGAAAATAACACAACAAACACTATATTATGAACCTTTGCCTGGAGCGTTGCTCCCCGGCAACGGCGCCAAATTTGATCGGTGTCGTACCCGATCAAATAAAATAGGAAATTTGTAGTACTAGGAAGTAACTCCTAGGTCGTCTCTCAAGGAACAACAATACCAATCCGAGGTTCATGAAATACAAACAAATGCACAATATGGGGGGGGGGGTTTCTGATTCAAATGAACAGTAATCAATAAAATAGTACACTTCCCAACTCAGTTATCACACATACATCATTGGTTCAAAATATTATCTTCAGTCATTTTAACCCTTGGTTTAATGTCTAGTAATCACTAAACGTCATTACTCTTGTTTTAAACGCATACAAATTAAGCATTAGCATACATTCATTTCTCTTGTATATATACCCATTCCATCATAATAAAATGAGTAAGCTGTTGGTTGATCTTTTATGGTGCTGTTTATCTTCTTTATGTTGCTGAATGATTTTATGAATTTGTAATTGTTTTTTTTTATAATCTATTGAAATTCTCAACAACTCTTCTGAAAGATAAATTACTCAAAATTCATTAATAAGTAATTATTTTTATAACATCAAATTTATAACGAATATAAACAATTTTAAAATAATAATTTAATGCATTTAATGTTACAAAATTATTACATACTTAATAATATTATTTATTTCTTGATAACATCATAATTATTATGAATATGGACAGTTTTATATGTATTATCACTTATAGAGAATTCTTGTTTTACATAAGCAATTTTACATTGATTTTATTAAAAATGATGTAAAATATGAATGTGATAACATTTTTGTAATTAAATAAAAAAGGTTAGGACATTTACATCGATTTAAACAGGACCCATGTAAATTTGTACCATTTTACATCGATTTTTTGATTAACCTATGTAGTACTGAAAATATTCTACATTTGTTCAAGGCATGACCGATGTAACATTGAGCTCTCCTCTAATATCCTAAAGCCTCTCTAGCAACTTGGAAACACGTTGGATATCATTTATTCTCTGGCCTCCACCTCTTCCGTCTTCCGTTCTTGCACCCGCCACATCCTCTCCTTCCTCCCTTCTTTCCATCTTTTTGTAACTATAACTACCCTTAACCCTCTAATCTCTATTTCCCTAACTAACTAACTAACACTCCTTTTCTCTTTCTCTCATAGAACGTTGCCCCTTCATGCTTAAATCCTCCCTGCACAACCTCTCTCTCCACTCTTAATCCAGTTACTAATACTTCCGGTAGCTATGTCTTCTCCCCACCTTTTCTTTCTCTTTACAATCTATTACTACCATGAATCTCCCTATTGTTGAACACATTGGTTTGAATTAAGTGTTTGATTCTCAAAATAGGAAAAAGGCTTCTGGTGATATTGGGAATGTTGTTTTAAATGGTATACACTCAAACAATGTGACAACTTCTAAAGTGCTTAAGCAGGATGAAGATAGACAGGAATTACAGGGCGGAGACAGTTCAAAATCTGGTGAACACCACAGGGAAGCTAATACCACTATCATATCAAGTAGGCCGACAACTACTGGTGAGTCCTTTAAGGTCAAGTAGTTTTTTGTTCATTTTACTTCTGTTAAATAGAGTTCTACTATTCTAGACACTGACCTAATTAGTGGCTCTAAAATTTTATCTAGAGGCACCAACAAGGATTAATTTTAATAAATTGTTTTAGTGTAAAAAAGATTGATTCCAGAAGGTTTCAGTTGTGTTTTTGTTATTTGAAGGGAGTTGGTTTTAAATGTGATCTTTTATATAGTTTGATAGAAACTAGATCAAAATTATAAGAAAATGGGTTTGCACCTCCAAATTGAACCAGGATTATACCAAATTCACTGGTTGAACCCGAGTTTATACTCATTTAATTATGTAATTAATGGCCGATTTAATAATTGACTTGAATTGGCCAGCCATCGAGTCCCGATCCTAGTCCAACAGGTCAAATTGGTCCGGATTTTAAATCTAGGCTTAAATATAATTTTAGTCTCTCAAGTTTAAGATAAATTTATTTTAACCCCTCAAACTAAAAATTAATTTTTTTAGTCTATGTAATTTTCAAAATTCTTGTTTTAGTTTTTATATTTAGTTTTGTTAGGTAACCTGCCAAATATTATCGTATAAAATCTCACTACTAGTACTTATGTTAGTAAAAATATTACGTTAAATTTAATTGATGTAACATAATTGTTTTAATATGTAATTTATATGTTGTTGGTGACCTGAAAAATTAAAATAAGATTTTTAAAAATTACAGGAACTAAAAAAAGTAATTTAAATTTTAGGAATTTAAAATACATTTACCTTAAATTTGAAAGATTAGAAATATATTTAAATCTTAAATTTATGAGTGAAAATTTCCATGGGTATAAAGTGAAAATTTTGTGCATGCTTGAAGTTAATGTCACACGTGTCTAACTAATCTAACCACTCACTCTACTAACTGGCTTCCTGGTAATATATCACCCATTACATGTCATAGGTTCCTTTGCCTCCTAGAGGACCTTTAATATCCAAACCTCTATTCCTAACAAAATGTCTACCTTAGCTTAACTTGATGTTGGTGGTGTGAGGGGGTTGAAATTATTGGTGTTACTCTTACCGGAAGGATATGAAGTGTTTGGATTCATTTCGATTAGTGTTATGTTTTGCAAGTGTTGGTCTAGTTAGCATCAACCACTCTCAAATCATTAGTTTGCACGATTGGTCAATGCAAAGAAATGAAGCTTGGCATTTCCTAGGTGATACAAGTTGGCTACTCTGCGGTAGAACTTCACTCTTAAATGTAACCATGCAATTTTGCTTTAAGGGAATTTGAATTGCTAGCCATATATATTGGCTTTAACCAGTTCTTCTAATGTTTTGTTGTTTGTCTTCCTTTTGAATATGCATTTTATTTTTCAAAATGGATAAATTTAAAGACATTCACTCATGACCCTGTGGATTATATTTTCTGATGTGATTAGTATATTAATACATGGATTATTTTTGTTTTGTATGATTTCTATATTTTTTTTTCACATCTTAGTAGTTTTTCTTCTCAAAATATATTCTTCATTAAAGTATGAGCCACGCTCATCTTTTGGATTTCACAATTTATCTCTTAATTTTATAAAATTTGTATAAAAATAGGTCTAGAAATACAATTTAATTTAAATATTATAAGATATTAATTTTGATGTCTTCAACTTAATGCCATGTCATCTTTAACATACAAATTTAACTATTAGTGAATAAACATTTAGTAATAAGATCAAGATTCCTAATTTTACAAAACTAAAACACTAAAATTATATAATTAAAATTAAACATTATAATTGCGAATTAAATATTATAAAAAACCAAACGTGTGGTTTAATAAAAAATATAAATGTTTCATGAGTTTTTTTTTTATATTTTTTTTGCTTATTAGTAAAAGAGATTACCACGACAAATAATATAAGATTTAAATCTACAACATTAAACATAATATTCCAACACCACTACTAGGCTAAAGCAGAACCTAGGTATTCATATTCCGTGAGTTTGACACGTGAGTACATGAGGTGAATATTATAATTCTCACCCCTACTTCTAATAATATATGGGTTGTTCCCTCTCTTATATTGGTTACCCATGCCTACCCGAGATTGAATATCCAAGCTAAATCCAAAGATTTTTGTTTTTTTGTTTCACAAGGACAATAATCCATAATAAGAACAAAAGAAATTCTATATGCCAACCAAATTCATAGCAATCATTGCCTAACAATTTTCTATACCACCTTGGGCTTGTGCTCCAGCCTATGAGTTGTGTTCAAATCGATGTGAACAAAGGCTCTCTCAATTTCGGGGAGTTTATCAAGCTTATCTTGAAGTGTCTCTCCAATGTCGTGTGCTTGACTTAGTGAGATTTCTTTTGATACCACAATGTCTACCTCCACAAAGTAGTTGGACCCAAATGTGTAGGCTCTGACAGTATCGATGTGCTTTATCTCCTTGTCATGGTTCCAACAAAGATATGTTAGCTTTGCAAGGTATTTTGGTGGGGCTATTCTCCCAATCAGTGACCATACATTCTCCATCACCATTTTTGCCCAGTTACTGATTGTATTAAAAGCTATCTACAAGGGTAATTAGTTTCATTAATTTATCATGCTGCTATCTAACCGTATTATAACGTTACATTTATTTTTTCAGGGCCACTGCAATGTGTTTGATAAAATGCCTGAAAAAGAATAGGTTCATTTTCTTCCAGTCACTGTGCTTTTGTTTTGCTTGCTTGGAAGGTGACTCTTAGTTTCGGCATAATGTGTCTTAGACTTTTTGAGCTACTTTACACTAGAAAACATTTTATTAGAACCAATAGGTCTTCAGCTTTTTTCTTGAACTCCACATTTTATCACTCTTCAAAAGACGCTCTCAACTTGCAATGGTATCAGGATGAGTTTCCCAAGGTGAAAGAGTTGACCGATTTGCTAGCAAATGTGGATACAGTTAACGGGAGACTTGTTGATGTAAACAGCAATACAACCGTATTTGATGATGGCTTTGAACGTGAAATATGTACCTTCAAGTCTCTTGTCCGTGTGTTTGTTGGGTCTCCATTTGTTCAGCACAGGATGAAACATGTTTTGACCTCTTTTACCACAAGCACACAACATGAATCGTTTACCCCTTTTAGTAAAGTAATTGAAACTTGAAAGAGAGCCTATGGTGGTTGATTCGTTGACCAAAGTGGGCAACTTTCTCAATGTCTCTGCTCAACAAAGGAATTTGGTTCGTTTAAGAGTGTGCCCACAGGTTACTCAGCATTGCATATGGACTGGTGCACTAAAAGAAGTTCTGAATGGTTTTGCAGTAGATTTGAATTGTTTGAGTTCTCGGGGCTTAAACAATGGTGCTTTATTGCGTGGCCAAATTGGTCAAAGCTGCTTGAAGTTTCTTACTGAAATTTTTGTCTGTTTGCACCCTGAGTCATCTTCTTGGCTGAAGTTTTCTCCTTCTAAAATAGTTGATCGCTATGATCCTCGGAAATGGGAAGATGTTCTTGTAATGTTCAATGATCTGACTGAATGCTGTAGAAGTGAAAATATGTTGAAGTTGCATGTGGCTAAGGCTGAGGTCATGAAGGAGGGGCTTTTTCACATTAGGGATGTTTTAGTTGACAACAATATTGGATATAAGGAAGCTCAACATCAAGAAAGCTTAGTGAAGAAGAAGCTTTCCAAAATGTTGGGTCACTCGTCTCGTTGCTTATTCACTCTATTACTGTATTACCTCTAGGGGAGGGTTGCAGATATCGAAGTAGACATGTGTGGTGGGGTCTATGTAGATGGAAGTGATGGCAAGTTTTGCTTGTTTATGGGAAGAATCTTGACTTCAGATAGTGAGAAGACGCTGGGGTGTGGTGTGAAGCAGTTGGACTGAGCGCTTGGGATTTTTAAGTTTGTGTGGGAAATGGCTAGAATGAAAGGACATTTAGATTTGCAGGGCCATATGTGGCGTGTTGGAGCAGACAATAAGATGCTTAGGTATAGAGGAAACATATACTTCGTGCATGGGATTTTCCTTTTATTAGAGATTATGTCACCACTTACTATTTATATAATCTTTTTGCTGCCTATGGTTTTAGTTTGTATGGTTTTACAATTTCAAATTACCAACATCTTAAATTGATTTTGTTTTTGTTTTTGTTTTTCTTTTGGAGCTTGGACTTTTGCAACTACAAGTACACACTTCTTGAAGATCTAGTTGTGAAAGAAAAAAAAAATTCAATTCCAGAACCTCAGGTTTGAAATTGTAAACTTATTTAAATTAAAATAATTAATATGTTTGTAATTTGCTCAATCTGGGGTAAGTTAAACTTATTTCCTAATAAGATTTTATTTCAATTTAATATTTGTAACTTTAAAAAACATGTTTAACAAAGTTATCAAATTCTTGTTCTGTTATTGATCTATTCAGGCTCAGGGGTTTATAGATGACTCTAGCCTTTCACTTTACCATTTTTTTTTTCAGCAGTTGGCAACAGAAAATTTTTCTACACTAACAACTAAGGAAAGACTGGGATCACACTCAACGCATTGTAGAATACCAAGTAAAATCTTGGAAAAGAGGTAAATCACCGTGGATCAGTGTCCATCTCTCATTTATGGTGGTTATATTTGATTTTTTTTATCTTCTTTTCTGAATAAACACTGCTGCATACACTACACACAAACTACAAGTCATTAGAGAATAGTTTTAGATACTATAGAGTAATTTTTAAACAGCTTATCTTCAAATAAATGTACAATTAGATGTTATTTCTGTTGCCTCTCTCTTTGAAAGTATCTGTCTATTCCAATTTCTCCTAGAAGGTTTTACCTTGCTACTGTTTATTAACTTGGTATTCAAGGACTAATTTGTATTGACAAAAACTTTTGTAGATCAAATTAGGAATATCTTTTAGGGACCAAATTGTACTTTCTTTCCATTCCATAAACAATAAGTTCGTACATCACCCGCCTGTATGCTAGACACTGCTTTCTATTTTAAATAAGATTTTTAACATAACTAGAACCTCCAGGGTCACACTCATAAAGAAATTTAGAGGAGAAAAGAAAGATTAAGTGAGTGTAATGTTTCTTATGGATTGTGCTCATAATGGTGAGACTCATCAAAATAATGAGAAAAAATGAGATAAGTTTTTTTCATGAGTCAGATTCTTAACGTAAGGGGTCCAAGATTGTTGTGTTGAAGTGCCAAAGATTTTCTTATATAAAGGAACAGCCTGAGGCACAATTGGCACAAGCTTCAATAGTTGTACAGGACACTGACTGTGCAAAGAAAAACCTTAGCCACTTGGCAAACAGGGTATGCTTAGTTCAGATTTCGGAAAGAATGCTTGGACCTACTGGATGCACAGTGCAATAGAATAAACTTGCTATAGAGGCAGTTTGTGACACAGCAGCTAACAAGTAGATTTTAGCGTGTTGGAATATCTTTAGGATTTTTGGGAATAATCCTAAAGATGTAGTTGTTGATAATTAAAATATGTATTTTAATATTGGATGCTTTTATTCTTCCTATTTTAATTCTCATAATTAATGCTTTGTGGGTACTTACAAAACAAGGCCTAGGGGATTAAGTGTACATATCGTAGGAAAGTTAAAGTTTAGAAATGCTCTATAAATTTACCCCTAATAGGTGGAGGAAAAATTCTAGTCTCACCTTGTTAAATCTCTTTCTCAAGAGTGAAATTTGCAAAACCATTAAATAGACATGAATTCACATGAAATTAAGTGAGTAATTAACTATATAATCAAATTCTTCTAGTAGCTAAAAAACTCTAGATTAGCACCACGGTGGTGTGAGTCTCTTAATTTTCTCTCAAATTTATTTTCAACTGTTTCTCAACCAACCTACATTCGTTTATAATTCATGCGTCAATCCAATGCTGAGTTATAGACCGATGAGGCAAGATTGTTAAGATTGTTTAGAGAGCAAAACAGAAAACTTTCATATTTTGCCTGTTCCTAGAAGCATGCATCAGGCAAGGGATTGGGGCCAATCTTGCTACCCAACAATTATTCCCACATCCCCGAGCGAAGTTTCTCAATTTAACCTACATCTTTTTTTATCTATTTTTCCTTCCTCCATGAATTTATTGTATTCAGCCTGCTTGTTTGTTTTTATGATCACTCTTTTCATGCTCTAACCTTTGTTTTCCCTCTTTTTGATTGCAATTTTGGCGCACAATTGTTGTAGTGTGCAAGAATTTTAAGTCATATTGGATTTATATAGTTGGTTTCAATTTTAGCATTGCATGGAGCATACCTTATTTCAATGTTGATGGCTTGTGATATAGTTTTTATTTAATCAACTTTATCAGTAGATAGTACATATTTGATACCTAACTTTGTCTTTCTTATTGCTAAGTTGAGATTACTTGTATCCTTTTAAATTGTTATACTTCCTATGAAGAAAGTGTTAAGGATGTGCTCTGCATAGTATGGAAAATTAACGCCACTTCAAAACTAGGCATTTTGTGTTCGAATGTTCTCTAGTGTAATTTTATTACATGTTTTAGGCTGCCATGGCAAATCATAATATCGCATTGTTACATTAAGCCATACTTTTATTCCTCAATATCATGATTAGCTTGTTATTTTTTTTTCTTTTGTTGGCAAAATAATATTAAATCCGTACTGCATGCACCTTCACAATAGCTCATGCTTATTAATTTTTTTTCATTTGCCTGGCAGGTTGAGGGCTTTATGTTTATATCCTCATTCATTTTGATCATTATATTTAAATACTGAGTGATAAAGTTGAATTTTATTTTAGGAACTGCATTTAGTCTAGTTGTGTACGTGGTAGTTATTGTTTAGTTTCAGTGGAGTGTAGTTATTGTTTGGTGTTATTAGGTAGTTATTTTATACATGTGAAAATTATTATTTAATATATATTGTAGAGGAAGTCAGAGAGGGAGAAGGGTAGTTTTTTTTATCAGTTTCAGTGGAAGGAGGAGACACATTGTTAGGGGGAAACATTCTGTTTGGCATTATGTGTTTGAACCTGGCCTATGAACCAGATTAAGTTTCTAATATAATCCAGTATCTTGTTTTGTTTAAATTCGTGAGCCTAATAGGTTCAGAGGAGTTTCTGTCTAAAAACCAAACTATGATCACCCCTACTAGAAACAATCTGGCTAGCACTAAATAGCAATGTTGGACCAATCCGTTAACGCATACTTATAAGTGAAGAAAAGGAAATAAATTAACGTGATGAAATAAATTAATTGAACTTCTTCCGTGTGTCTCAACTTTTTTAGAATTTTTTTTTGTGATTTTAACTCGTGGGAGATGTTGGTTTATTTTATTTTCTTAAGTCATTTTACTTTTGTTCTCGTTTTGGTGTTTGATGAATAGTTTATTCCAAATGCTTTGTCATCGAACTGTTAGGAAAATTTTCTTACATTGTTTTTTATCTCGTGTCACTACTTTCTATCAAGATCATAAAGGAGGATTGGGGAAAATTGCATGTACACATTGCTTCATACAACAACTTCCTTACTGCAGCAGGATTGGCTTCTTCTGCTGCAGGTTTTGCCTGCCTTGGTAATACACATGTTAATCTTAAGTTCTTGTTTGAGTTTTTTTTCATTCAATAGTTATGACAGCAGAGTTGATTGCATTAGTGGCTACTGGCTAGGATTTGAGCAGTCTTCCATTATTTCCCTTGTTCTAATGAAAACCTCTTTCACATTCTATTTTATAAAATTATCAGTTTTCCATACTTCAAGCTTAGTACGGGTGCATGAGTCTATCCATTAAATCTGGTTGTGATTGGTTGGCTGCTTTAGCAGGTTTAAGATCTAAACTAAACATGGCATTGAATTGGGTGATGCGTTAACTGATTGGTCTAATCTGGTTTTTGATATCTAGATTTTCCCAAAAGAACAGATTCCTTTCCCTGCATAGCAAAACAGTAATGAAGACAAAATTTTGTAGGTAACTTACCTACGGAAATTTCCGTTGGTAAGTCATCCGTAGATAAAATCCGTAGATAACGTTATCTACGGAAAATTTTCCGTAGGTAACGTTATCTACGACCTTATTACCTACGGATTTTTTCCGTAAATAATCCGTAGGTAATTACCATTTACCTACGAATTTTGATGCTTATCTACGGATTTCTTCCGTAGATAATGCTGATTTTTCTTGTAGTGTACTGGGAAATAATTGTTCTAATATATGTCACTTGTTTCTTGATCATTATGTGAGAGCAACTTGCCATTCTTGACCATTCTTGTTCCTTATTAGGCCCTCTTACCGAAGGAAAAGAGGATTCATTATCACGACTTTGTGGTGTAGATATTACATGTATGTTTATTTGACTTGTTAATTATGACTGAAATGTATTTTTTCTTTTTTATGAAATGTATTTTTTCTTTTTTATTTATGATATTTGTCAAACTGATTTTCACAATGCAGATATGAATAATAGAGTTGAATATAAGAAAGACAAAAAAGAAATAGCTCAATATGAATTCTTGGATGTAATGTTACACAACTTTGATTCTTGAATTGAAGATGAATAATTCCAGAGTTGCCATTGAATATAACAAAGACAAAAAATGGAAGTTATCATCAAGAAGGTAAAAGAATTCTTATAAATATATTTATAGTATATTTTGTTAATATCTTCATTTATGAAGAATCATATATTCTGTAATTGTAAAATCCTAATACTTCTTTGTTGATTTAGCCTGGAACTTCTGAGATTTCTAATGAAAATTGGTTACATTCTTTTAGTGGCTCATAGACATTCGATATCAATCTAAATAATATATTTTCTTTAAAGAAATAAATTTTAATTGGTTATTTCTTGTAATTTAATGTTACATTTTTCATTCTTAATTTTGTTTTCTCAGATTCGTTTTATAAATACTTTTAGTTCGGTGAAAAGACTAAATTAATGTCAATATGTCGTATAGTATTACATTCTAAATCATAAACTAAGATAAGATATTAAAGCATTAGGTAAAATTTGATGCTAAAATAATTTAATGTTCAAAGATAATTTTTAACAGTCAATATTTTAATATTTTAGTTTATATTTAAATCTAAAATATAATACACATGTCAAAAATATTTATGTTTTATAAATTTTAATTATAAAAATGGAATATTTAACTTACAAGTTTAAGATACTAATATATATATATATATATATATAAAGTATGATAATTTATCAATCATTTTTTAAAATTTTAATTAATATCCTTATTTTAATTTTTATTGTTCGTATAGTATATTTTAAAAAAATAAACTTGGATATGTAATTTCATTATTTTAAAAATAATTTTTTTAAATAAAGTAATAGTAATATATAAGATTTTTCTATAAAAGTTTTTTCTTATCGGTTTTTCACATTCCCTTCGGCCTGTCTTTCTCGCTCGTACCGTTCACCAAGCACCAGTCAATAAACGAAGCGTTTCGCTTTATGTCTCTCTTGATGTGCTTCTATTGTTTCTTTCAATGAGAGACATTTGATTTGGGTTTATAGGGTTTGGGTTTCAATACATTTTCTTTTTATTTTCTTGAATATCCGCTAACGCACACACTCTATTGCAAATTCTCACTGATACGCCTATGGTTCTTAATTCAGATTGGTGGAGTTCTTCTTGATAATAATGTGCAGTTGTCTAATTGCGAGGTTAGTGAATTTTCTGACTAATTTTCTTGGTTTTGTAACTTCTGTATTTCTCTATACTATTTTGTTTTAGACTTTTGTATTATACTATTTTTGTACTCAAAAAGTACTATTTTGAGTACTGGGATGTTGGCTATGGAAGACGAAGAAGAGTGTTTTGTTATAAAGGGCAACGATGGAGGACAGTGTGAGCATATTAAAGAAAAGAAGATGGTTCTTAATATCTCTGTCACAAATCTCCTTGCCAGTTTAATTTCTTCTTGGATTTCTGGCAACTCCTCAATCTTAAGATAATGCTGAGGTTCTTGATACTTCTATTACAAATCTCTATCTCAGTTTAATTTCTTCTTGATACAGATTGTTGGACTTGCACCTCCTTGATTTCTTTCAATTCATTGGGCTCAAGATAATGGTACTACAAGGAAGTTTTATAATTGTGAGGTTAGTATCTTTTCTGACTAAATTGAGATTTGACCCATAAACTTTGTTATAAATTTTTTGAAATGTTTCCTCTGTTTCAAGGCAGCAACTTATTGTACTTACTCATTTTTAAATCTTGAGTGTTCCAAATCCTCTAAGGTTGGTGTTGCTTGTGAAAATTGAGAAATCATGATTGTCCAAACTTATTAATCCTTTTGAATATTGGAAAGTTTCTTTATTTTTGATTCATAATGGATTTCCAAGATTGATTTATTATTTGATAATATTAGTTTTGGATAACCATAGTAGGAGAAATCTTTGTCACCCTAATTTTAATCCATTTTAGTTGTTTGAGCCTTTATGACTCAAATTCTGATAAGTGAGTAATTTTCTTTTTCTTTACTTTGGTGAATTCAAGAATTTTTTCTATTATGTGACAAATGAGTAATTAAAAAATTAATTACTTGCCCTTTCTCGTTGTTTCAATATCTTTTGGCTATAGGCTCCTTGATTTGGTCTAAAATGACCAAAATTGTTGCTGCTACTACTTATTTTTAGTCCCTTGTTGGCCAATGTTAAGTTTAATGTATGCATTATGGATGAACCTCATACCAGTATGCTAATTTATTTCTTTAATTTATTTTTATTTTTTATGCATCGTAACATTATTTTTGAACAAAGCATTCAATCAAAAGAGTTGTTCGATGCTGCTTGATTATGTTCCTTTCTTACTACATATATTACTACTTCTCAGTTGGGTTTCTGGTTAAACATAGAGTCTAATTAAATTGTGTGTTTTGAAACTTTATTAGTCTCTCGATTCTAAATCTTGGTCATTTCAATAATATTAATAGATCCAAAGAGTAGGCACTAGCAAAAGCTTGAGATAGTGGGTTAGTGTGGGTATACCTCATGTATATATGTATGTTGGTGTTTATGTTTGTATGTGCTTTGTCTTTGTGTCAGTGTACGTGCTTTGTTTATCTGTTTGTTTTTCTGTTTGTGTATGTGCATGTTATGTGTCTTTGTATGTCTCTTGTGTGTATCTCTCTGTCTCTGTCTGTATTTGTGTGTGTTCTTTGTCTTTATCTTTATTTTTGTCTTTGTGTATGTGGTCTATGGCTGTGTGTATCTGTATCTCTGTCTTTGTGTCCATGTTTATGTGTGTGTGCTTCTTGCCAACCAAAAGAGTTGTTTGATGTTGCTTGACTATGTTCCTTTCTGACTACATATATTACTTCTTTTCACTTTGATTTCCTTGTAGTGTTTTCTCATTTTGTTAGTGTTTACCATTGTGCTGTTCTAGCTTTTCATATGCTTTTTGATTTTTGGATATTGATTTTATTTGAGCAAAATATATACTTGAAGGAAAATACCGAAGGTTACCTTGTGTAATATATATATATATATATATTCATTGTACTCTTGAAATAAAAGAGAAATAAATTATAAATGAGATATACGAATATTTATAAATTATAAATTAAATACTATTACACTAGTTAATAAAAAGAGAAAGGGTTGATTGTTATTTACATATTAGACAATTGGAATTTGGAAGAGGAACCATGCATCTCCTAATTTTAAACACCAAATAAAAATAGATTTTTTTGGAAGAGAAAAGATTAAAATTTAAATTATAATTAGAATTCTCTATTAATAAATAAATATTTATAAAATTTTGGTGAAAATACACCGGTAGTTGCATTGCTGCTTAAATTCTTTATTTGGGAATTGGGATAAATAAAGTAGTTTTTTTATTTTTTATTTTTTTTATTGTAGTCTTTATAAAATTACTATTTTTAAGATTATTCTTTTAAAAAATTTCTTCTCGGTCTTTAGTATTTTGTTTTCATATACTAGTTTTACATATTGTCTTTTTATTTTTTTATTTTTATTAGGATCTCTAGTCAGAGGAAAAAAGGTTTTATTTTTATGACTTTATGTTGTGGATGCTACAAGTATAATAATTATGCATAATTACTAGATTTGTAACATCCCCGACATGAAGTCTATTTTGTTTTAGTAATGGCTCAAATGTATTTTTTTTTTTTTTTATTTCTAATACAAGTCAATTCTGTGCAGATGAATAAACTATTTGATGACAGTCTTTGATTCTTGAATTGAAGATGAATAATTTCAAAGCAAAAAATTGATAACAAAACAGCTATTGATTATAACAAAGAAGGATAAGAAATAACTTCATAAACAAATTCTTGAAATCAATATTTCAAAACTTTGATTCTTGAATTGCAAATGAATAATTCTAGAATAGCAATTGAATATAATAAAGACAAATATGTTGAGGAGTTGTTGTCCTTAAGGTAAAAACATTCTTATAAATCCATTGGTAATATTCTTCTGTTAATATCTTCATGTAAGATATTTCTCTAATCTCTTTCATTTTGAGTATAGAAAGAATCACGTATACTTTCCCTTTTCTAAATGAGTGAGATGATCATAATGATCTTTAGAAAATTTTGGAAGTGATTGACATGCTCTTGACTTTCTTATCAGATATCCCTTTAGCAAAATCAAGATAGTAATAAATGATAGATTAAACTTATCTTCTTAAGCATCTTTGTATATTTTTGCTTTTTGTTGTTGGTCATGGTACTCTTCCAAAAATCACGTTGAAATTTCCACCTTTTATAAGTGCATACATCATGACACAACACTAAATTTTATAAGTCCCATTTTTTTTAATTGCATTTTCTATGTTCTTTTTAAGCTCTAGCTAGTGTCATGGATAGTTTTTATGTTATATTATAAAATAGTAATACTTTTTTTAATTTGTACTAATGGGTCTCAAAGTCTCGGTGGACCTAGACCTGCATTATGGGAGGAGGAAAACTCTTGATGTGGTCTCACACAGTGTTAGAGATTTGTTGAGATCTTTCAAGATAATTGAGTGTGAAGCTGTCCTATTGCACACATGGATGATATCTACTAGGTAATTTCATTTTAAGCTTTTGATTGCAATAAATTTTCTATTTTTATTTCCTTTATAACTTTTAGATTTTTAATCTTTTCATATTATTATTAATTAAATAATAATTACTAAAAATATTTTATTCAAATAATTTTTTTTAATTTAAATGTTAAGCATCACTAAATAAAAATACCCATCTTCAAACAACATAAAGGAAAATTATATATTTCTAATTATAAAGTGAGATAAATTATGTGGCAAGAAAAATTTAACCTCTACAAAAAAAAAAAGTGAGAGACATAGAATAAGTTTATGTTTTTTTTTTTTTTTTTTATATTACTATGCTATTCCTTTTTTTGTTTTTTTTTCTCTCTTTACAATAATGTATAACATGTATAATAACATCTATACTAAATATATAAAGGGGATACCTATTTAGTAATCACCTCGGTCTCCATTTTTTTTGACCATTATATTCTTTTATTTAAAAAAATTAGAATTTTTTTTAATCAAATTTAAGAACTTGAAACTAATTGATTAATTATAATACTAATTAAATCAATATAATTTTATTATTTAATTTTTATTTTTATTTATTTTTAATAGAGGCACGAAGTGCCTCGACCCACTAGTGTAGATAGTGTAGATTATGGTTGAGTTACTTATTTGTTTGCTTAAACTTGTTCAATGAGATATATATTTGAATTTTAAATTTTGAACTTGAATTTAGAATAAATTATATTTTTTTAAATAAAACTTAATAGAAAAGATCATGTCTTAGTATCCGTTTTCAAAATAATTAGAAGCTGTGACAACATATATGAAGTTCATTATATTCTTTTAATATGTATAAGAAAATAAATTATTTTCTCTCTCTATATTAATGGTCCTCTATTTATTAATGGTCCATTTATTTAATTTAAAAATATTTTTAAATAAAATAAATATTTTTCTATTTTTCTTTATGCATGCCTAAACCGAGTATTTTAAAAGTAAGTAGCTTTTTATTTTTTAAGAATTAAATAATTATTTTATAATATTTTTTTTAAAAGTTTAAACAAATTGTTTCAATATCGATTATGTGAACTTTTGAATTACTAGGATTTATTTAATGGCATAGAATTTAAGTAAAATATCCAAAATCTTAAATTTAAACTTTAGAATCATTAATCGTAATTTTTACTAGTAAAAAAATTAGAAAGTTTTATAAAAATTAAGTGCACTAAAAACAGAATTTATTTTCTATTTATGTAAATTTTTGAGAAGTTTATCTCATCAAAATATTATATAGCGAGATATTCATATACCACTATTGTTTGTAATACTACTATTAATCATATATATAGTGATGTAATTAGGGATGGTAAAAATGCCCGCACCCGCGAGTATATGTGGATAAAACCCGCTACGGATAATAAATGGATAGGTTAATTGGGTACCCGCGGATAATGGGGACGGATAATTTTTTACCCGTTTATAAATGGGGCGGGGGCGGGTATGATGATATCCATACCCGCGGGTACCCGTTTAATATTATTTCTTAAATATCCTAATTATCCTTGTACCACATAACCCTAAAACTACACTCTGTCATCTTATTTTCTTACAAAAGTGAGGTTGATAAAGTTACCGATATGTGTTAAGCATTTTATAAAATTATGTTGGATGTAATTTGATTAATTTTCTAGCTTTGATTGGACCAATAAGATTTATGTATTTTAAGTTATTTACTTTCATTTGCAATTATGAGATTGAATTATTGTAGTTTGTGATGAGACTTTAACTTATTTGTGAGACTGATGTATTTTAAGTTATTGATTATCTTGAATTTTTATTATTATTTCAATAAAATTAACGTTAAATAAAAGTGCAAAATTGACATTGAATTTTATTTTTAATATTTCAATGACATTAAAATATAAACTTAAAATTATTTGTAATATAATTTTTTTTAATTTCTTAAAAATTTTATAAATATCCATGGATATCCGTGGGTATTCAAGAAATTCATGGATACCCGCTTAACGGATACGCGCGGATATGGAGTGGGTATGGGGCCAATTTTCATTCAGCGGGGCAGGGGCGGATTTACTATTACCCGCCCCCATGGGGCCCATTGCCATCCCTAGTTGTAATCATCATTTGAATATTTTGGTTTATGTTGAACAACTTTTCAAAATTCACGTAATAGGCAATATAAATTCTGATACAACCCGATTTTTTTTTTTTGTTATGTTAAAAAGAAGGGAAATAGATATAAAATCTAAACAAATTGATTGTCTAAAGTAAAATTACAAAATATAAACATTAATTAAAAATTAACAAGTAAAATTGAAATTTTACTAAATTTATAATCTATACACAATTGTACTTCACCCATCTACTTTATCTTTCACTTCAGGAAAAAATATTAATTATTCAATTAAAAACTTTATATTAATTTAATTTTTCAAATCAAATTATTTATTTTTTTTATTTTGAATGAAATCAAATCATTTACTTTTTTTTTTTTTATAACAAGTTTATATTAATTTAATTCTTCATATACAACATATGCAATCGAACCTTTTGTTTTAATGAATGTCCAGAATACGTACTAAAAATTGCAAAAAATAATTGAATCTTTATTTTATTTTAACAAACAGTACAAACTTTTGGAATTGCTGCTGAAGTTGAATACATTTTATTTTAACAAACATAGCATATTGAATATGGACTATGTTGTGATGTTAGCTTTTAAAAAAAAAAAAATGTTAACTATTCTTTAAAAGTATAAATTAATAATTATTTTATTTAATAATTATAGAAAATATAATAATATATATTACCTTATAAATTAAATTATATATTATAAATATATTTGTTTGAGCTTTTTAATTTTTTTTGTTTTTGAAATGATCATTATTAATCTATTTTTTATTTTAGTTCATGCAATAATTTATTCATTTTGAATTAGTTATTTTTAAATGAATTTGTAAGGACTAAAATAAATTTATTCATATGTTTACAAAGACAAAAACAAAAAATAAATATATTACAATGACTAAAATAAAATAAGAATATATATAAATAAATGATAAATTTGACAAGAAATTCTAAAAATTAAGTTTATAAAGAATAAAAAAATTGACATATCATAAAATCATAAATACATTTAAATAACAAAATTTAAACCTTGTAAATAAAAACACTTAGAAGATATTTTAAAAAAATTTAATTTTATAAATGGTATATCATAAAAGCCAAAAACACATTTAAATAATTAGATTTTAACCACCTTAAAAATAAAGGTAATTGTTGAATTTAAAAAATAAAAAGTAAAAACCGTAAGGGTTGGCAACAACGCCACCTACGACACCATCCTCCAGAGCATTTTCGGTAGGGAAAACGTTCCCCCCAAAGCCATCGCCCCGTGTCAAGACCTCTGAAGGAAGGGTTGGCAAAGAGGGCGCACAGTTGCCGGAAATCGCAACGGAGGAAATGAATGTTCTTTTTTTTTTATAATTATTATTCATTATTTCTTCTGTTGTTTTAATGTCTGAATAGTCTTTTTTTTTTTGTTTTAATCGAGGATGTTTTTCTGTTTTTCTGTAGAGAGCGGTGACAAAAGATAGTGAGAGAATATTAAAGAAAAGAAGATCCTTTTTGTTATGGTTCTTGAAGCTTTTTTTACAAATTTGTCTGAGTTTATTTTTTTCTTGATATAGATTGCTAGATTTCTTGCAACTCCTTCGACTTGACTCAAAATAATGGTGTTATTGTTCTTATACTTTTGTTAGAAATCTCTCTCTCAAGAAGAGTTTTTTTTTTTTTTTTTTTTTTTTTTTTTTTTTGTAAAGGGCGGTGATGGATAGTGAGAGCACATCAAAGACAAGAAGATAGTTCTTTAGGGACAGTGAGAGCATATCAAAGACAAGAAGGTGGTTCTTGATATATGAATGCAAGCATATCAAACCTTGTGAATCTTTATGAATATCCCTATAATTCTTGATACACATTTAATCATGTATATAAGATACAAATTTATGGTTTTTGATACTGTTAAAATCTCTGTTTCAGTTTAATTTCTTCTTTGATAAAATTGGTGGATTTTTTGCAACTCCTTGAACTGAAGATAATGCTATCTGCAAGGTACTTCTCTAATTACGAGGTTAGTATCTTTTTTTACTAAGTTGGGCTTTGAACCATAAATTTTAATCTGAGTGTCTCAAATATTTTAAGGTGGATGTTGCCTGTGAAAATTGACAAGTATTGATTGCTCAAACTTGATAAATCTTTATGAATACACCTATGGTTTTGGCTACAGATTTAATTAGGTATATAACATACAAATTTATGTTTCTTGATGAACTTATGATTCTTCATACTTTTGTTACAAATCTCTGTCTTGATTTAATTTCTTCTTGATTCAGATTGTTGGGTTAATTTCAACTCCTCGGGCTCAAGAAAATGCTATGTACAAGATATTTCTCTAATTGGGAGGTTAGTATCTCTTTCGTTTAAGTAGGGCTTTGACCATAAAATTTGTCATAAATCGCTTGAAATGTTTTTTTCCTGTTTCAAGACGGCAACTTACTATTTATTTATAGACAACATCATGTCATGTATCAATTATGTTTTGCCGTCTGGACGGAGTGATTTGCCCAATTTAGCCTTCACTAGTGTTAATTAAATCTAATCAATACTCGATCAAAAAGATAATTTTTCTATCACATGTATCTTGTAAATATACTTGGATTCAATAATTGAGGATTTGAATTTGCCAGATTTGGGTGGGATTTGATGTAATGCATATTCTAAAATAGAATTATTTGATAAAGTGACAATATAATGAGCACATTGTTAGAATAGCTTGTTTAGGAAGTCTCTTAATATTTAAATATTTTACTGTACTTCTCTGACTGTATTTTCCCTGGGTGTAACAGCATAGGCTTTTAGTCCCTGTAACTTTTGTATTTCCAAAATACTATCCTCATATATAATAGAAATATTCAGATCAGTGTAGTAACACTCTTTTGCCTATCTGTCTCAATATTCAAGCTACGTATAATAATAATGCTATAAAACTTGCCTTGATTTTTTTTTAAATGGATGTAAGTAGCTATGCATACCACTCCTACTACCCACCGCTTGATATATTGTTTCAATGCAAAGATTGTTTTTATTTCATTTAAGTTAAACATAACTATATTGAAAAAAATATAGATTAAATTCAATCCCATAAGTTTCTTAATCTTTTCAACATATTTTATTTTATTAGATATAATTTTTGAATCATACATATTTCTATTTATATATTTTTAAAAATTTTCCATATCTATAGTCAAATATTTTTATGTGTTCTGTATGTACTAATGATGGCTAATATTTTATTTTAATCTATATTTTGAAAAAAAATCTTTAAGACTCTTGTCTGTTACAAAAAAAAACATTTTTTTATTGATTATATAAAAATTAAAAACTTCATTAGTCATATAATATTTTTAAAAAATTATTTTACACCACTCTTTGTATTTTAAATTATTGCATACATTTTTAATTTATTTAGTGAACTATTTATCTGGTAATATTTTATTTTTTACTTTTTTAGATATGCATTATTGCATAAATATTATTTGTTAAAATATTAATTTTTTAAAACATCAATTTTGGTTAAAATATTACTTCTATTTTAAAAATAAATTTATCTTAATTAAATATTTATAATAAAAATCAGAAGTTAGTCCATATAATGAATTAAGCATGAAGTAAGTTGATTTCTAAAATGAATTAAGATGTTTATTTTATAGTTGAATTTTTTATTTATTTATAAAAAATTAGGCCATGGACAGATCCTAGCTTATAGGGTTTTGTGGGCTTTTATAGTTGATGAATTTTTTCATAAATGGACTTTCTGGGCTGAAGGCTTTTTTTTGGTAGTCTCTTTTAATATAATGGATTCACACATGTCTCAAACACTTAACTGTCTCTATTTTTTATAAGTTCCTATCTGTTTCTGTGTTTTCTGTCATCCGTTTCTTTCTCAAAACTCAAGAGTCATCCTTGTTGAAATTCTTGAGTGTGTTGACTTGATTATCGTTTCAAACTGGTTTTTACTACTATTATAGTTTACAACTGGTTTATGATTTGAGATATATATTTAAACTAGACTGATTTTAAATTCAATTTTGAAACATAAATTGGTTTTAAAACCAAATTGGTTTAACAATGATTTTAAACCATAAATTAGTTTTAGAACAGATTTTTTTTAAAAAATATAAACAAGTCATTTTTAAAATAAAATTTTAAATTAATTATTTTCTTAAAATTAGTTTTAAAAACAGGTTTATGATTTAAAACTAGGTTTGAAATCAAACTGGATTTCGAGTCATAAACTTATTTTAAAACCAAATTTAAACCTATTTTTGAAAATCCAAGCCAATTTTAATTCCTTTGTGAGTGTACCTCTAAGGTTCTATAAGATAATTTCACAGAATTTGATTATAATAATAGAAAAGAAAATATCTAATTAACTCAACTAGAAATACTTGTGCATATATCATTATCTTTATTTTTTTTAAGAATAGCCAATAATTAACAATTGTTTTTGGGGTTATTTTTTTTATTCAATTTTAATGTAGGGATAAATAAAATTTAGAAAGACATTAATTTTCATATTATTTTGAGGTGGGTTATATCCTTTTGAATTCTGTGTCTAATATCAATGTGGACAACACCTATTTTCCATTGTTTCAAAATATGACCTATTGTTCTCAAGTCCCATGTTTAGGGGTTGGTCTCATAATTTTACTTTTTTTATTTTTTTGACTTCACAATTCTTTCACAACATGTTAACATCTCAAATATCGATAAACTAGATTTAATAGTTGGCACCAAACTTATTGAATTTTGTTCATTTAAACTATGTTATTCAAGACTTAGTTTCATTTATTCTTGTCAATTGTAGGTTATAGCAGTAACAAACAGTGAAAATATTCTTTACCTTGCGCTTATGCATTCCGAGTGATTGGATTGTATTATTGAGTTTCTGCAATCAATTGAAAAAGTAGGGCTTGGATTCTCCAGGTTTAGTGTCTTGAAAATTTATCTACTAGCATATTTTTGGAAAAAAAATATTTACATACTGTGCTCACTTTGATATTTTAGATCATTCAAGGAAGATGAATATTCACCCTGATGTTAACTTTGAAGAACTTGTTCATTTTACAGATGATGTCAATGGAGCACAACTGAAGGCACTATGTGTTGAGGCTGGCATGTTGGCTCTGTGCCATGAGGTAACTAATGTTTGTTTTCTTCCCTTATACAACAACTTAAATAACTTAAAATTAATTTTTTTAAAGAAAATGAGAACCATAATTAGTATAAGGGGCATTAATGGGTTGATCTTTTCTCTTTGAAGCTTTTTGTTTTTCAACGTTTTTTTCCTTTTTTATTTTTTATAAAAACCAACATAACCTATGACATACATACTTATTGAGATTTGTGATTTTCAACATATTTAAGCTAATGATAGAGTAGTAGACAAAAAATATTGGCAGTTGTTTGACATATATTGAAAATAATAAGTCTTAGTAGGATGTGAAAGCCATCAGATTTCTGGTTTCAATAAATTTCAGCTTATAACAAAGTGTGTTAGACCAAATGATAATTTCAAATTGTTTTGAAATTTGTTGAAAATAAATTATAATGAGATGTGGGAGTCACCAAGATTGGTAATTTTTAATGAATTTTAGTTAGCAAAGTAGAGTGTTAGACCAAATGATAATTTCAAATTGTTTGAAATTTGTTGAAAATAAATTATAATGAGATGTGGGAGTCACCAAGATTGGTAATTTTCAATGAATTTTAGTCAGCAATGAATAGTGTTAGATGAATACTTGATAATGCTTGAATTTTATTGAAAATAATAAATCTTAGTGAGTTGTGGGAGTCACCAAGATTTGTAATTTTCAGAAAATTTGAGCCAATAATAGTGTTAGACAAAAAGTATTATAGATTGATTAAAATTTATTAAAAATAATAAATCTTAGTGAGATGCGGGAGATCACCGAGATTTGTAATTTTCAATGCATTTCAGCTTTAAATAGCAATAGAAAAAATATTTGATATTGCTTGAATTTTTTTGAAAATAATAAATCTTAGTGAGAATCGAGAGTCACGAAAGATTTATTATTTTCAACAAATTTTGGTAATAAAGAGTGTTAGGCAAAAAAATTGTTTGAAATTTTATTGAACATAATAAATCTTAGTGAGTTGTGAAGGTCACTGAGATTTTTTATTTTTAATAATTTTTATCTATTAATAGTGTTAGAGAAAAAATATTAGATATTCCTTGAAATTTATTGAAAATAATAAATCTCAGTGAGATGCGGGAGATCACCGATATTTGTAATTTTCAATGAATTTAAGCTATAAATACCGAAAGACAAAATATTTGATATTACTTGAATTTTATTAAAAATGATAAATCTCGGTGAGATGCTGGAGTAACCGAGATTTGTAATTTTCAATAAATTTCAGGTAATAAATTGTACTAGAGACAAAAATTGTTTGAAATTTATTGATGAACATAATATATCTTAGTGAGTTGTGGGAGTCACTGAAATTTGTTATTTTCAATAAATTTCATCTATTACTAGTGATAGAGAAAATAATATTGGATATTGCTTGAAATTTATTGAAAATAATACATCTTAGTTAGATGTAGGAGATCACCGAGATTTATAATTTTCAATGAATTTTAGCTATAAATACTGATAGACAAAATATTTATTGAACATAATAAATCTTAGTGAGATGCGGAGATCACCGAGGTTTGTAATTTTCAATGAATTTCAGCTATAAATAGGAATAGATAAAATATTTGTTATTGCTCGAATTTTATTTAAAATTATAAATCTTAGTGTAATGCAGAAGTTACAGAGATTTGTAATTTTCAACAAATTTCAGGTAATAATGTGTGTTAGGGACAAAAATTGTTTGAAATTTATTGATCATAATAAATCTTAGTGAGTTGTTGGAGTCATTGAGATTTTTTATTTTCTATAAATTTTATCTATTAATACTGTTAGAGAAAAATATTGGCTATTGCTTGAAATTTATTGAAAATAATAAATCTTAGTGAGATGCGGGAGATCACCGAGATTTGTAATTTTTAATGAATTTTAGCTATAAATAGGAATCGATAAAGTATTTGTTATTGTTCAAATTTTATTGTATATCATAAATCTCAGTGAGATGCGGGAGTCACTGAGATTTGTAATTTTCAACAAATATTAGGTAATAAAGAGGGTTAGGGACAAAAATTGTTTGAAATTTATTGAACATAATAAATCTTAGTGAATTGTGGGAGTCACTAAGATTTGTTATTTTTAATAAATTTCATCTATTACTAGCGTTAGAGAAAAAATATTGGATATTGCTTGAAAATTATTGAAAATAATAAATCTTAGTGAGATGCGGGAGATCACCGAAATTTGTAATTTTTAATGAATTTCAGCAATAAATAACGATAGACAAAATACTTGATATTGTTTGAATTTTATTGAAAAAAGTAAATCTTAGTGAGATGTGGGGTCTTTGAGATTTGTAATTTTCAATGAATTTCAGTCAGCAATGAATAGAGTGTCAGATAAATTATTTGATATTGCTTGAATTTTATTGAAAATAATAAATCTTAGTCGGTTGTGGGAGCAACTAAGATTGTAATTTTCATAAAATTTGTCACAATAATAGTGTTAGACAAAAAGTATTAGAGATTATTTGAAATTTATTGAACATAATAAATCTTAGTGAATTGTGGGAGTCACTAAGATTTGTTATTTTTAATAAATTTCATCTATTACTAGCGTTAGAGAAAAAATATTGGATATTGCTTGAAA